AGGTAAGGTCAGACCCAGGTCATGGCAGGCCTAGGAGAGGGTAGGTCCAGGAGAGGGTACGATCAGGAAAGGTCAGGCCCAGGAGAGGGCAGGCCCAGGGGAGGGCCGGCCCAGGAGAAGTCCTCTTAAACTTCCAAGAGATGACATTGAGAGGCAATGGGTATTTGAGTCTGGAATACAGGAGGGAGGTCTGGATTGGAAATAGCAGTTTGGAAGTTACCAACTTGTAGAGAATACATAAAGCCCTAAGGCTGTTGGGGGCGGCAGCAGACAGTAGCAGAGGCCAGAAGACTGAGCCTCAGGGGTGCTGTGTGCCAGCACTCAGGGGCTGGGACTGAGAAGACCGGCCAGGGCCATGGGAGGAAACCAGAGCAGCCTGAGACCCGGGAAGCCCCGTGAAGAAAGGGCTTCAGGAAGTTGGGGAGAGCAGCGGTGGGAAGTGTGGCTGCTGGGCTGTGAGAAGAGAGGACTGAGAGCTCCTCATGGAGTCAGCACCTGGTGGGTGGTGGGTGACCGTGTTGTGAGCAGTTGCAGTGAGTGGACACACTTGGCTTGGATGGAAAATGAGAGGAATCAGAGGCAGCGAATGGGAACAGCTCCTTTGCAGGGGCAGGAGGCATGTGTGCTGGAGAACAGAGAAATGGGGCTGCAGCTGGAGGGTGAACACATCTTTTTTTAATAAGATGAGGGCAGTAACAGTGTATGCTAATAGAGAAGATAGATTAAATGGGGAAGTTTGTAACACCACATTCCCTTAGGTCAGGGGAGTTGCAGGTGAGGGCAGGTGGGGGGCACAGAAATGCCCCTGAGAGAGTCAGCTTCAAAACACTTGCCAGGTCCAGTCCACTCAAGACCAGCTCCCAGGAGTGTCAGCCCCTTAGGAACTCTAGCGCCTCCTGCAGTTTTGATCCTGGCAGGGCCAGAAGCCATAATTAGCCAGCTGAGGGAGGAAGGATGGAGTTAGGCAGGAAGAAGAGGCCTGCTCTGCCTCCCCCCCCCCCGCAAGTGGTCAGCCCGCAGCGTGGCCTCGCTGAGTAACTGATGTGGTGTTTTCATAGTTAACGTGGTTAAAAAGTTCTCAAATGTTAAACCATGCTCCCACATAAATCTTGGATTGATTGAAGATTT